AACATACTTTCTGGACGTGTTTGGTCTACTTCATTCAAAGAATGAAAGCCTCCTTGGCAGAAGACAACCAAGTCAGTCTGCCCCTTTGTTCTCTTTTCAATTCTTGAAGCTAGATGATCCTGAGTATATTTTACAATAAAAATGAAAGAATTAATAACTCAAACAGGAAAAATATTCAAATCTTATGGCCAAAAGGTTTTATGACAAGATATTTAGTACAGCATCAATGGAGACAATTTACATGCACAGAATGCAAATCTGCAAGTCTCTGAAAGTCTCCACCCTTTATAGAGCATGAGTCTGAAAATGCAATGTTAATGGATGCTAAATCTTGGCCACAAGCTTCTGTAAACCCAGAAATTAACAAATTCTCCATCGTCTCCTCCTCAGATGGAGCAATGTAAGGGAAAGCCATTGAAAAATTTGACTTGGTAAAAGAGTCCTGTATAGAGCCACAGACAACATATTATAAAGTAGAAAGTTGCAATATAATGCAATGATTAGCTCAATCTTATAAGTTTATAAGCAGAAATGAGAATAAATGCAATTGGGTAAATTCTAGTTACCTTGAGCAAGTCCACAAGTGCTAGATCTACATGTTTGTTCCCAGCAATGTCTGAGGAGTGCAACTACATATAATAAAAGTAAACATCATGAGTAGCCTAGAAATGAACAGCAACGTGAAATTTGTAAAGTACCAGTGGTTTATTCAGCTAGCCATAGAAAACATTGTTGAAAATTGATGGCCAGGAACGCTCATGCTGGAGTGTTATTTATAAACCACTTGTCAAAAATTTCTTACCTCTCTACCAACAAAAACAATTGCCAGGTTGACAGGCTGCTGAAGTTTCTCCCCAGAGCACTGAGACATTATAGAAGTAAATCAAACAGAATAAGGAAATCAAGAAAACTAAACTATGCAACACAATATAATTCTCTTCATCATTTCGATAAGAAATGCCATAGCGAAAATTTAAGGTAGCATGTTGATTGCAGCAAGCAGTACCAGTAAGTTTGACCAGCCCCCTTCAGATAGAACAGAGTCCACTAGATCCTTTGGTGACATGATCTGATAATTTACAGTATCCTTCAATTCATTGTTTGAGGAACTGTAATCATTCAAAAGTGAAATAAAATGTGATTCCAACTATCAGTAGCTAGCTATCAAGCAAAGAAAAGAAAATGTTGAAAGGGATGAAACCGGCATCAAGAATTATGCCACCGCTGTACATAAAACCAAAGTGCAAGCAAAACACTTCAAACAGATTGCACGACAAACAATAAAACATCAAGGCAAAACGTCTATATAGAGGGAAAAGCTTAGATTATGTTGCTCCAGGAACAAATCAAACCCAACATATAAAATTTGCGTTTCTTTAATCACAATTGAGGACAATTAAAAAGAAACCAAAAGGATTTGTCAATTTCAACAAAACAAACTCAAAGCTTTTTCCTTTGTCCATTCCGAGATGACCCAATTTTACCCTATGTCGAAGAGCACACTTAAATAGTTTCCCAGGTAAAAAGGAAAAGATTTCAGGAGGATTACAAACGTTTGAGTTAGGATGGGGAGAAGGGTACGTACTGAGAAGACCAGAGAAAGGCGGGCACTGTCGATGCTGAAACCTGGGATAAGACGAGCGAAACTGAGAAAAAAACCACTAGTATTCTCTTCATCGCCATCGCGTTTACCATGTTCCTCCTCCTAATTATCACCTAAAACAAAAAAAAAAAAAAATCGTAAAATCGAAATAAAAACATCAATAAACTTGTAATCTAAGATTTAAATATCAATGCAGAAGATCAATCAATAATTCTAAATAATCAAGAATGGATCAGAAACTCGAAGTTAAAAGCAAACAAAATTAAGAGTAGAACTTCGCTGAGAGACGAACCTGAGCAGAGATTGAGAAAAGATCAAATATTAGGGTTTACGATCATGTGGATGCAGAATAGGAAGAATTGATGCGACGAAAGAAGAACAGAACAGAACAGAACACAATCTCTGATCTGTATGCCACGGTGTCGTTTTACTGTGAATCTTAGGACTCTTAAACGACACCGTTTGGGAAAAGGAAGTTGCATTTTCTCTGCGTAAGTGAACAGCTTTGTTTTTCTGCTGTCGCTTCTATTTCTCACGGACTTTGGATCAGTGATTCGGTGAATCTCTCTTGCCGGAGGGAATTTGGTCGGCGATAGCTAGATAAGGACCGTGCAGGAGTTTCTCTGGTTATCTTCCTGAAGATGAGAGTAGCTTTAGTGTTGATTTGTGTTGCATTATGCGTGCCATTGTTTGTCGGATCGGCTTTTACTTTCCCCAAAGACCCGTTTTATGGGATTTCTCCTCAAGGTTTTAGCTTGTATTATGATCTTAGTTTTTCTTTCATGGGTATGTACTGATTTTCTCTAATTTTTCTACTTTCGTTTTGGGTTTTGTTTTGTTTGATGATTAGATGAGAGTTACTACAAGACATCATCGGATACTATAAAGTGCAAAGATGGATCGAAGAGGTTCAAAAAATCCCAGCTCAATGATGACTACTGTGATTGTCCTGACGGCACTGATGAGCCAGGTCTCTCTCTTTATTTGCAAACTTCACTGTTTCTTATAAATTTTGTTACTATAATTTGTTTTTTAACTAAAGGGTTGCCTTTGGTCCAGTTATACTTCTATTGCTCTTTGACAGGAACAGCTACTTGCTGTAATTTTATGACCATATTCATAACCCAGTTTTACTTTCTAATTGTAGCAGTTGACATTATATGATGCATATCTTTTTTACAGTGCTGGGAGTCTAGCTTTTTGATTATTGGAAATTGTTTTCAATACAGAATATTGTGGATTTGCATTTTTAATGTTCTTAATATCTTCTTAAGTTTCTTTGATGATTTATGTAAATTTTTGTGTAGGTACATCTGCATGCCCAACTGGAAAATTTTATTGTCAGAATGCTGGTCACATTCCCCGATCTATATTTTCTTCTAGAGTGAATGATGGTATTTGTGGTATGTTTCTTGAAGTTAAATTCTTCACTCTTTTTGTCATTATTTGTGGTTTTGCATCCTGTGGACTGATGACTCAAATGCATAAATTGAGATTATGCTTGCATTTTTTAAATACTGCAACTTATTGATTAGAAAACTATGCAATGGTGGGATTGTTTTGTCCAAGGGGATCATATTTTTATCAACAAATTAATCATAAGAGTTATTTATCCGTTGTACTGCCACACAAAGAGCGTGCATTTAGTAGCTTTTATTGAATCTTTTGAAAATTTTACTTAAGGCTTTGATAACAGGCATTTCATTCTTAAGCAGCTCTATTTTACCTAGTTTTATGCTTTTGTAAAATTTACCTGTATCTTTAAATTCAGAGATAAATATGGCGCTAAATTTAAGTATACAATTGCTAATGCTAATAAACATGGCAAGTGGGAAACTGGTTAATCCCTACAAGTTGTTGTGGCTATAGAGCATAACATATTCTTAATTTCTATAATATTCTATGGTCTCATTGGGCCATGATATACAGATTGTTGTGATGGAAGTGATGAGTATGATGGTAATGTGAAGTGTAAAAATACCTGCTGGGAGGCTGGAAAAGCAACTAGGGATAACTTGAAGAAAAAGATGGCTACATATCGGGAGGGTGTTACATTGCGAAAGCAGGAAATAGAACAAGCAAGAATAGCTATTGCCAAAGATGAGGCAGAACTAACAAAACTAAAAAATGAGGAGAAGATATTAAAGCCACTTGTTCAACAACTTAAAGGTATGTTTAATAATCTGCCATGTGCTAAAATATGTTGTTTGTCCAATTTAGGCTGTCATTATAGTCATGATTAATACCACGTTGTATCCCATCTAAGTTAAGTGACATATGTTGATTATATTTCAATACAGCATCTATGTTGTGACTGTATGATGAATACATTGGTGATTCACGTTTTACTTCAACTTATTAAATCCTTAACTCTTTTAACAAGGGTTTGATGCATGAAAATTTAACAGCATCTGGTCCAGCAGTCATGGATGAATTTTGTCAGTTAAAGAATTGGAAATCACTTTTTTTTTTTTTTTTCCTTTTCCTTACTGTATATGCAATGCTGTTTGTCTTATTTATACCTCCTAGATACTATATATTGTTTTCCATGCCTACACCTCCTCGGTAGGTAATTGTTTCTATTCATCTTGTTTGTATCTCATTCTACCCATCCTTGCAGTGGGCATTGATGTCATCATACCTACTGTACTCTTTCTTTGACTTACCTGTTTCTTAATTGTCTTAGATTTATTATTCAAGATAGCCTGTTGGTCTTTCATGTTAAAAGAATTTTATTATACCTGACAGGAAATCTGTGATCCCTCAACTCTTGCAAAGCACAAGCTTCACTCTTTTTGCTTGTTATTGCAATAATTTATTACTCATATTAATCACTGAAAAGTTATAAATAATTCACGGTGCTGAAGTTCTATGTTTGGAATTCTTTTTTCCTTTTGATCTCTTTTAATAAGTATATGTGATCCTTTAAGGGTTTAAAAACTTTTAAAATATCATTTTTTGTCCCTGAGTGGGTAAAAAGGACCAGGGAGTTCAAAAGAATCTCTTTGCTATTCTTAATCTTGATGTAGTTGGATCTTTCATGGTATTGAGTTTTCTGTTCAAGAGGAATATTCAGGTTAGTGTGCTGTAGCATAATTTTTTTTGTGTGTGTGTTTTACATACTATGTAGAGCGTAAAGAACAGATAGAAAAGGCTGAGGAGAAAGAAAGGTTACAGAAAGAGAAGGAAGAGAAGAAAAAAAGAGAAGCTGAGGAAGCACTGAGCAAAGAAAGTGAACCAGGGGAAGCTGAGGTTGAAACAGATGAAGCTGAGGTTGAAACAGGTGAAGCTGAGCAAACAGTGGGCAGTGGAGACAATCCCACAGAAAATACACATGATGACATAATTGGAACTGTGGATAATGATCCTTTAGATGAGGTCAGTCTGGTTGTTATTTAATCTCCTGTACTTTTTTTTTCCTAAATTGATTTCATCAAATGTTGGTTCAAATGGTAATTCAGTGTCCTTTTGCAGTTTGCTTCTAGCTTTTATATCCATAACTGCTGAAACATATTATCCTTGCTACATAATTGACTTGTATCAATGTTGCTAATAATTTTCGCCATAGAGGAACAAATTTAGGATCTCTTTTGGACTGCTTTATTAAACATTCAAACGCATTCTTTGTTTACCTATTTACCCCAAAAAATTTCAGAATATATATGAAATGTAGCAAATTACATGCTTTTGATTTTTTCATCTTGAATGTATGTTATTTGTTTAGCTGTTGAGCTTATATAAGCTTTCCTTGATATTGCAAATAGTCTGCTTATCTTTAATTCTGAGATACTTGTGATAGGACCTCGAACATGAAAATGAGGCAGCTAAAGTTGAAAATAGTGATACAACTAATAGTGAAAGATCTCCACTCAACGGAGTTGAGCAGGTATAATTGTCTTTTTCCCTCTCATACATATTTGAAGCTTTGCTGTCACATAATTTGTTGTTATATTCTAAAAAATCCGTTCTCTGATTGAAGCATGCAGCAGAGAATAAGGAAGAGTCAGCCTCGGCAATCCACAAGGATGATACTGCAGTTGCACCTGAAACTGGGGGCGATGATGGAAGTGGAGTAGTGCCTGATGATGTCAAGAAAACAGTAAGTTTAGCGTCTCCAAATATTTCATCTTTTATCTCAAGCTTTTCTCATTCTACCTGGTTAAGTCATTAAAGAAATCAACTATTGGAGTGCAATGTTAGAGAACCACAAATTTGTCTCAGTAGAAAAAAAAAAAAAAAGAAAAGAATTATCACACTCCTTAGGCTTCGTAAAGTACCTAAGTACTTCATGTCTGGTATTTTCTGTCTTTGTAATTGCTATCTGGTATTTACAGGGCAATGAACCGTCTGAGAATACTGAGGAATTGTCAAGAGAAGAGTTGGGTCGCCTTGTTGCCTCCCGTTGGACTGGAGAAAATGCAGAAAAGCATGCCAATGCAAAAGATAATTCTCATGAAGATGAAGGTCATGATGAGACACTAAAGCAGACACATGATGAGGAACATGATGGCTATGCTCCAGATACTGATGATGACACTGGTAAATATGATGACACTGGAAAATATGATGATACTGATGATGACATGGATGAAGCCTATGAAGATGACAGTCATGATGATCCTAGCTCGTCATACAAATCTGATGAAGCCTATGAAGATGACAATCATGATGATCCTAGCTCTTCATACAAATCTGATGATGACATTGATTTATCAGGTTTGAAGTTCATTTCTGGGCTAACTTTTTGTTTTTTTGACAATGCCCATTTAGTTCACCTGATGCAATGTCTAACATTGATGTACCGAGTTATTAGATGCATCCACAACCACCCCAAGTAACCCATCTTTGTTGGAGAAGATACAACAAACTGTACGAAATGTTCTGCAGGCTGTTAATTTGTTCCAAACGCCAGTAAATATATCAGGTATGTACTGAACCTTGATACTTTATTGGTGCTTAACAATATAAGTTAGTGCATAAAATCAGCTCATCTCGTCTTTGACTTCCTCAGATGCTGCTTATGTACGCAAGGAATATGATGAATCCAGTGCCAAGTTATCTAAAATACAGTCAAGGATATCATCTTTGACAAAAAAACTAAAACAAGATTTTGGTATGTTGTGAACCATATTGATATGTAAGCAGCAGTTTTTTAAATTATTGGTCTGGTTATCATAACTCACACAGGTTTAATTTAATTTTGCAGGGCCAGAGAAGGAATTTTATTCATTCTATGACCGTTGTTTCGAGATCAAACTGAATAAGTTACGAGCTTCTGTTAATTTATTTTGAACTTTAGATCATGTTTTAACATAAAGAAATATACAGTTTTGATCACTTCAAGTATCTTACCTTTCACTGAAAAACTTTTTGCTTCAGGTATGTTTACAAAGTCTGCCCATATAAACAAGCTTCGCAGGAGGAGGGGCATTCGAAAACTCGTCTAGGGTAGGTTGCTGGAATTGATTAGAAATTAGGATGCAACATCAAATACTTGGAGGGAAAAAAAATATGTAACCTCCTCTTAGATGATAGATCACCTTGATCATTATAACATGATAGTTCAGTCTGATCTGTACCGTGTAGTCATCCCTTATGCTCCACATAGGTGTCCCTTTTTTTTTTTTTTTTCCTTTTTTGGTTCTAAACATCTCTTTTTCTCTATTTCTCTATCCCTCTGCACTGTTGTGTTGCATAGGAATATTAGGTTTTAGCTTATGTGGTATTTTCTTCTCTTTGCATTTATGTTTCTCTTTTTTGCTGTAGGGAATGGGAGAAATTTGAGGATTTGTACCGAGTGCTGCTATTTTCAAATGGAGACAGGTGTTGGAATGGGCCAGATAGAAGTTTGAAGGTACTTATTAACAACCGTGTTGATCATCTTTAATTTCTTGGGACTTCTTGTAATGCTCTGTCTACAAGTATTGCTTGAAATAGTTTGGATTCTTTTAACTGGAATGTTTTAGTTATGCAATTTAACACGATACACAAAAAATATGACACAGATGAACACTAAGAAAAATTGCCATCTAAATGAGATTCAAGAAACTTCTCTGTGGCTCTTAAATGTCTGCAATTCAATATATGCTCTTTATTACAGGTAAAATTAAGATGTGGGTTGAAAAATGAGATCATCGATGTTGACGAACCAAGTCGTTGCGAGTATGTAGCTTTGTTATCTACTCCAGTATTTTGCACAGAAGATAGACTTAAGGTAATTATGCAGTTGGTCAAGTGAATTTAGCCATGCATCCCCTTCTCTTCTGCTTGAATGCTCTAACATTGAGTAAACTCTGAAATATTGATAGGAGCTCCAAAACAAACTAGACTTGCTGAACAAAGAACAGCCCCAGAAGCATGATGAACTCTGAAGTGTTTTAAATCCCAGATGCTCTGGAGGATGTTGTTTGACTGAATGAGCTAATTTACTTTAGAAGAGAGACCAATTCAAGCTTGAAAGTGATGATATGCAGAATGTGGCCTCCTCAGGCAGGTGGTTTGAAATTTTTCTAGCAATATTGGAGGTGGCCTCCTGAAAATTTTCCATTCTGGAGTGTGCTTCATATTACAGTTGTCTAGACCATTTATGATGACTCAGCGAGCTAAATTGACTTGAAAACCAATCTGCCCTGTCACACACTATTTAAAATTTTGCTTATAATAACTATTGTTAGTACTCTAATTCTGGATAGACATGTTATTGTTCTTCCACAAAACGGTATATTTTTTCTACAATTTCATTACTTCCAAAAATCTTGACTGTTTTATGATCTTTTGATGAATCTGTACTTCATTTTTCAATACATTTAGAGAGTGAATGGAAGAGGGAGAATCAAGAAAGCATTAAAATTCATCCTTCTTTGACATCTCTGGCTTGACATCTTTATAGCCACAGAAAACTCAGTCCATGGGTTTTGCTTTCAATGTAAGAAAGTGAATGGAAGATGGAGAATCAAGAAAACATGGCTTTTCATCCATCTTTGACATTCCTGCCTAGAAATCTTTAGAACCACAGAAAACGCAGTCCACAGGTTTTGCTTTCAATGTTTGACACTCTAGAAGTAGAACCACAGAAAACAAAATCCATAGGTTTCGCTTTCAGGTTTGACATCTCTAGAACCACAGGACTCTGTCATAGGTTTAGCTTTCAGGTTTGACATCTTTGGAACCACAGAATTCAGCCAAAAAGGTTTTGTTTGTTTCCCAGTAAAACAGGGTTTCCTCCCATTAAGGAAACCAAGAAAAGTGAGAAAAAGACTAAAGGCTGTGAATCTGTGGTTGCTGAGTTCTCCTTGTCACACGGTAATCATATTTCCAGCCAACTGGTTTAACCACTACTACTACCCTTTATTGCAAAAGCCAAAAAAGAACAGTATGGTAATTGTGAAAATCAAAGATTGTGTCTGTGTGTTGTTCAAATTCCATCAAACCCCTCGTGCTTTGAGCTCCATAAAGCCCTGTTTTTGATTTGCCTGTCTCCCAAGCCAAGATTTGAAGTGCAGAACCAGGGTTTTGTTTACAATACAGTATCTTCTGAAACACAAAGTCAAATGTATTATTTGTCTTCCCCAAGTCTCAAAAGCAGGGAATTGTGGCGCAACAGGTTTTAATAAACCATGTACTACTTCGTCCCTGCTAATTTACTTCATGCGTTTTAGAAAGAGGGTTTATTTAAATGTGAAAATTTTAATTTAAAATCTGTTACTCACTTAAAAAGAAAGTTAAAACACTCCTTAACGTATTTTAAAAAGAAAATAATTAATAGTAATTTACTTGTTTGATTTTTATTTTAATTTGTTTCTCAATTTTCTTACTTTGATAAAATACTTCCTAATTATTTTAAAGCTTAATAATTACTCAATTTTGATTATAACATATACCAACGGAAGATTTTTAAGTCAAATACATGTATGTAATTATATAATTATGTTAAGTACATATGTTATAACCACACTTAAAAATATTAAGATCACATAATTTTTTGTATAGTATATTTTGAAATACTAACTCAATTTAATTTATTTGTTAGAAATAGCTAATAAATGCAACTGTTAGTTGATAAATAATAAAATTATTAATATTTATTATTTAACATATTAAGATAAATTTATAAGTTAATATTTTTAAATATTATTTTAAAAAATTCAAAATATTTATATAGCCCTAATTCCTTTTAGCCTAGCCTTAACCTCGCCCTTGTTAAGCAAGTAAAAAACAATTATATTATACACCCATAATTCACCGCTAATTAATTACATAATTACTAACGTCATGTAACTTTAATTATTAAAATAATTTTGTTATTGATATAAAAATCTTTCACACTCATCAGATAATATTTTTTTTTAAATTTGTACTTCTCCCTCTATTCCTCTCACTATTTTTTTTATTAATTTTTTAATATTGATAATTACATTAAATTTTAATTAATTTAAAATTAAATCACATCGAATTCCATTAAAAAGAGATATCTATTTTTTTATCCATAAAATTTAAATTCAAATTTTATTTAACAGAATGAAACTTTTTCTAGGTTGTTAATATATTTTACTGTACATAAAAGAAAAAAAAATTAATAATGCTGTAATTGTTAAAAAAAAGAAAAAAAAGAATTAGGTTGATAATACCATAAAAAAACATATTTGCTGAAACCGCTTCCCGGTTCCTGTAGCTCGGAGTTCACACGGCATCTCCATTTTTTCTTTTCTTCTTGCACCGTATTTATTTCCACTTCTTAATGTGGATGTAAGCAAAAACCATTTACGAATCCTATCTGGGTGTTTTTCCTCTTCCTTTCATTTCGTGAAGGGTTTGATAAAGTTTTGGTCTTGATTCAACTATGGCAATGAACAATCACTTGGAGCAACTGCCAATGGAGAAGAAGCCGAAGACGAAAATCGTCTGCACTCTGGGTCCTGCATCCAGGTCAATACCCATGATCGAGAAGCTTCTGAGGGCCGGCATGAACGTCGCTCGATTCAACTTCTCTCATGGCTCCCATGAATATCACCAAGAAACCCTTGACAATCTCAGGACCGCCATGGTCAACACTGGTATTCTCTGCGCCGTCATGCTTGACACCAAGGTATTTTTGACTTTTCATTTTGCAGTTCTGCTTCTGGGTTTAATTTCTCTTATTGATTCGCTTTTGCTGCATGTGGGTCCTCGTTTCATTTTCTGAACCCTTTTTTTTTTTTTTTTTTTTTTGGTGTTATTGTTGATATGTGTTTGGTTTTCGGTTCTTTGCTTTTCTTACCTGAGCTATGTTGGTACCGTTACCATTAAAGATGGCCCCTTTCTGTCATTAGAAAGCACGAAAGAACATCTATCTGTTGATATGTACTGCATATGCTTCCTGCTCTTGTCTCTTGTGATGATAAGCAGGCAGAACTTTTAGGTCAATCTGTTTTGGTAAATCATAACTATTTGGTTGTATGAAATCTTTTTCAGGGGCCAGAGATTCGAACAGGGTTCTTAAAAGAGGGAAAAGTGCAACTAAAACAGGGTCAAGAAATCACCATAACTACTGACTATAGCATAAAGGGTGATGAGAAGTTGATAAGCATGAGCTATAAAAAGTTGCCTGAGGATGTCAAGCCAGGGATGGTTATACTATGTTCAGATGGCACAATCTCATTTAAGGTCCTATCTTGTGACAAAAAAATGGGTTTGGTTCACTGTCGTTGTGAGAACTCTGCAGTTCTTGGTGAGAGGAAGAATGTTAATCTTCCTGGGGTTATTGTAGATCTTCCAACCTTAACTGATAAGGACAAGGATGATATCTTGAAGTGGGGCATACCAAACCAAATTGACATGATAGCTCTGTCCTTCGTTCGGAAAGGCTCAGATTTGGTGGAGGTCCGAAAGCTGCTTGGAGCACATGCTAAGAACATTCTTCTTATGTCAAAGGTATGTTTTGGTTGCTATGTAAATTCTAAAGAATCTAAGGTGTGATCTATCTCTGCTTTCACATGTTCCGAGCCAATATTTTGTTCTGTATTTTTTGCCTCAATTAGTTAGAAATTAGTAGGTGGTAGATTTTAGCTTGAAGGGAGAACTTGTGTTGTGCAAAGAAGGCAATTGATGGGGCTTAAGAATAGAAATGCATACTGGATCAGAATAAATTACATCTAATATATATTTTACTGACCCATGTGAATTATTATTCTGATTTTTTTTTCCTTGTTTTACTTGAATCATCTGGTAGGTTGAAAATCAAGAAGGGGTGGCAAATTTTGATGATATCCTAGCAAATTCAGATGCATTTATGGTGGCAAGAGGTGACCTTGGAATGGAGATTCCAATTGAAAAGATATTTCTAGCACAGAAAGTGATGGTCTACAAGTGCAACATTCAGGGAAAACCTGTTGTCACAGCCACACAGATGTTGGAATCCATGATTAAGTCACCTCGGCCAACTAGGGCTGAAGCCACTGATGTTGCTAACGCTGTACTTGATGGCACGGACTGTGTCATGCTAAGTGGTGAAACTGCTGCTGGAGCTTATCCAGAGCTTGCAGTCCTGACCATGGCAAAAATATGCGTGGAAGCAGAAAGCACACTTGATTATGGAGATGTCTTCAAAAGGGTCATGGAACACTCACCAGTGCCCATGAGTCCATTGGAGAGCCTGGCTTCCTCTGCTGTTAGAACAGCTAACTCGGCAAGAGCAGCTCTTATATTGGTCTTAACCCGTGGAGGAAGTACTGCAAAACTGGTGGCTAAATACAGGCCTGGCATGCCTATTCTTTCAGTGGTTGTCCCTGAAATCAAGACTGATTCCTTTGATTGGTCTTGCAGCAATGAAGCACCCGCAAGGCACAGCCTAATCTTTCGTGGGTTGCTCCCACTGTTATATGCAGGTTCTGCAAGAGCCTCTCATGAAGAGACAACAGAAGAAGCACTGGAATTTGCAATTCAGCATGCAAAGGCAAAGGGAATGTGCAAGAAAGGAGATTCTGTTGTTGCTCTGCACCGGATTGGAACTGCATCAGTAATCAAGATCTTGACCGTGAACTGAGATAATCAGAGAGTAAAATTTTTTGCTTTATATCTTATATTTGAGGTCACTTGTAGTTCAAGGAGCCAATGCTGATTATGACAATCAGCTACGTTTTGTTTTACCTTTTCTTGGGTCCAACAAACTCGGTTTTGAGTATATTGTTTTCATAGCAGACTAAATTCGGCTTTATAAAACCACTACTCTTCAAGGCATTTGTTATGTATCTACTGTTTTGTTAGTTCTGCTCTCACTTCTCCAAAGGTAGTTAGGTAGAAGACTAGGAGTTGTATGCCTCACATTTTGAATGGTAGATATCTGCCTTAAATGCTTGCTGCCTCACATTATGAATTATCAAATATATTCCATAGGACGTCATACTCACCAACAATGTATGCTTAAACTTCTGGATTATAGACAGTAGTTATATCAACATCTGTAAGTTGTATAAAACAGAAAGCCATAGCTATGCCTTACACCAACCTCCCCTGCTTACCAAATTTTAAAAGCAAATGGTATAGAGGGAAACCCTCCCTGTGATCTTAGGTGTCTTTCCAAGAGCTAGTTTAGCTAGGGTCTGGGGGAGGAGGTAAATGTTTTAAGGAGAACTTTTATGTATGATTTTTGGAGATTAATGTTTGTCAATTAAATCTATAAAAATTTAGGTAAAAAATATCTAAAATTGCATGATATCAATAAAGTATTATGAAAGAAAAAACAAAAATAATCTTATTTTTTATTTCGTTTTTAGAAATTAAAATATTTTAATTACTTTTAGTAAAAATTAATTAAAATAATATAATTTTAAAATATTTTTTACTTGATATTATGAAAGAAAAAACAAAAATAATCTTATTTTTTATTTCGTTTTTAGAAATTAAAATATTTTAATTACTTTTAGTAAAAATTAATTAAAATA